ACATGTGAAACTTTTTATATATAACTTGAAGGCTCTGACAGTCGATACGAATGATTTGAAGGGCCAGTGAGTGTAATAAAAACAAGGTAAATGTGTTCAGGGAGACTGTAACACCCGAGTTTCAAGCTAAAGGTACCTAAAGAGGGTCGAATAGGTTATTACAGGCGATCTGGAGGATATGGAAATCTATATAAAAGATCTGAAAGCTTCAGGAGTCAGGATAAAATAACTGGCAGTCTGAATATAGCAGATGGAATTGCAAATGAAATATATCGATCCACTTTTTGGTTAATGCTCCCGTATAACGGTACCTACTCATTTGCGATATTGTGAAGATCCATGTCATAGTTTCCCACCATAGTAGCTGTAATTATACAGTTCGAGTTGTTGGGGGGTGATAAACATCTATGCATGAAATTTTCTACATAATACCATATTTTGACATAGCCCCCACATAAAGGTTCTGTCCCGTTTTCGGTTCCGCCCTTTTATTTTGAAGGTTTTAGTTGCATTTTCTCTACGGCTGTTCCTGTAATTCATGATAATCATTGTTGCAGAATATTTTCTATGTATGGTTCATGTTTTGACATAGCTCCCATATAAAGGTTCCGCCCCAATTTTGGTATTTTGAAGGTTTTTGCCGCATTTTCGATGGTCGAGGGTTGTGCAAGCTCCTCTTAATTTCTTGAAAAGTGTTTTAGGGAACTGGTACTGCCCTCGTAAGGAAGTTTTATTTTTTCACAAATAAATATATTTCTTTAAGGATTTTCTCTTGCCCTAACCAATCATTTATTTTAATAACATATGTATGTGTGTGTGGGTATGTACGTGTTGGTCCTTAAGTATTCACTCCCAGGCATCCATTACATTTATTTTCTTGGGTTTCTTATATTATTTTCTTCCTGATATTGTCCATATGCCAATTAATCATATTTGCCTGACTTCTAAGGTTCAGTATTTTCGAATGGTGGCTTCTTTGAGGGGGAGAGAATATTTTTTCTTCTCAAAACATTTCCCTAAGTATTATGAGGATATATTTATTTTGTATGTGTGTGTGTGTGGAAAAATTACATTATGGTTTTTGGGGTCCGAAAAAAAATCCGGAAAATTAAGGCACCAAATTAAGGAGGGAAAATATATTCCATGATCCCCTCAGCTCCTTCTCGGTGTTTATTTGCAGGTCATGATATTTTTTTTTCTTTTTTGTATTTTTGTTGTTGTGTGTTTTTTTCTTAAGCCACTTCCTTTCTGGCCAATGATAAATTTGTTATTAACAAATATTATTTGCTGTTGGCCAAGTTGTTAGCCATGCCATAAATATTAACTAAGTCAACAACAGCAAGGAAAAATGCCAAAACCAACAACATTTCCAAATTTTTAAGACAGAAACTGAAATATAGATGTGAAAATATGTATGTATATAAATATGTATGTGTATCTCTGTGTATGTGTGCATCTGTCTGTGTATGTGAAATGTTGTATGACATATTGGCCACATTAGTTTGTTTGACAGTTTCTTTTCGGGCCTTCATTTCAATTTGCATTAGTGAAAGGAATGGTCCGCAATTATTTTGTCAAGTTTAGCGGAAAATTGTTTTCAAATAAAAAGTTGTTGGGGTTTTTTTTTCTTGAAATTTAGATTTTTGACAGCAGTAAATGGGATAGGCAAGAGATAAAATTTGAAAAAAAATATTTGGAAGAGATTTATCACCAAAACAAATCGAAAAAAATCGTATCGACCAATAATGCTGTCAGTTGTCAACTATAACTAATACTGGAAGGTCGATCGGAATGGCAACTAATTGAAATGCAACTGAGGAGTGAGGTGCAGCAACCTTCTTAACCAAAAGAGAGGCAAGGTGACTACTTGAAATTCAATTAGGGGAGGGAATGCAACCTTTTGTACCCAAAAGAGAGGCAAGGATTTTTCTTTTTTCCATTGGAAGGGGTTTTTCTTAGTAAGCATTAAGGATAGAGAATGGTGCTCATATACCCCCAATATTTTCAGAAGGACATTTGCAGGCCTTCTTAGAAAAATATGTTTTTTCTTTCAATTGAAATGCAATTAGGGGAGGGGGTGTAACCTGTTTACCCAAAAGAAAGGCAAGGGCTTTCATTTTTTCTATTAGAAAGTTTTTTCTGAGTAAGCATTAAGGATAGAGAAGGGTTCCTTAGACCCCCAACATTTTCTGAAGGACATTTGCAGGATTTCTTAAAAAGAAATATTTTTTTCTCTCTCAAAAAAATCGGCTAAAAATACAGGTTAATTTATTCTACCATAATTTTGTTTGCAGTTTTTTCTACATCCAAAAATTAGCATTTCAATTTGCCATCCAATTTCATTTTTTTAATTTTTTTTCAAAATCGAAATATCTCTCGTAGGTGGCTGGCGTTGGTACCCAATAATTTACGACCAAATGCAAATTTTTCTATCAAACTGTGACAGCTGTCATAACATTAACTAGGGAAAAGTTATGGTTTATGTGAAACCAAACCCTATGGAGTTTTTCCTCTCCTGCACACCTCACTCCCCCTCTCTCTGCCTCTCTCCCTATTTTTGATTTCCAATTCAATTTGATTTCTGAGGTATGAAAATGAACTACGCATTTATGGAAATTTTATGGTCTTTTTTTGCTATTTTGTTGTATTACTTTTTGTTGTTGTTTTTGTCGTTTTTTATATGGAACTTCATTATTGACTTCACAGCATGGGGAGACAACAACACACCCTCGTTGAAAAAAATTATATTTGCATATAATAATTATAGGGAACTTGGGGTCAACAGGGAAGCCTTAGTGGATGTGGGATTATTTTTTCCAATCCTCCAGGTCGAACTTTTTATACCCTCCACAACTCCATATTTATTTTAGAAAAGGTCGAAACCCTTTTATGTCATTTAAAAATATTAGCTAAGGTATAATTGGAGAAAAATTAAAATAACAAATTTCAGGCCCCTCAGTTTGGAAATCTGGGATCGGAAATTCAATGTAACGAAAAGTAAGCAGATTTTTTATATGGGAACAAATCTTAAAGCATTCACCTACATTGAAAACTTTTTCAATAGCAAATTTCAGAAACAGTTCGGGACTAAAATCTTCAATAAACCCAAAACAGGTCGTGTCATTCTTTGTATAGGGGCTATGCCAAAAAAACCCTGCATTGAAAATCTTCGGGAAACATATAAACACATTTTCACCAGCCTCTTCGTTAGGGAATTCCGGCTAAAATTGTAAACAACCGAAAACAAGTCGGGTTGAATACCAAATTTCAGAAACACTTCATGTATTAAATCTTCAAAAAAAAAAAAACCCCAAAGCAGGTCGGTTCATTATTTCTATAGAGGCTATGTCAAAAAACGTGGACCTACATGGACCTCTTCGTTAAGGAATTCCTGCTAAAATTTCCAAATACCGAAAACAAGTCTAGTCCTTCATTATATGGGTACCGATCTTCATTATGTGTGGACCTATATCAAAATTTGTCTGGAAAGATGTTTTTACTATATGCGAACCAACCTCTTCCTTCAAAAACTTCGGCTAAGATTTCCAAACACCTAAAATGAGTCGAGTCCTTCTTTATATGGGGACTACGTCGAAAAATTTACCTACATATTCTAGAAAAAAATTAATCACCCTCCAGTAACCCTCAATGCCAAATTACCAACTCTTCGGTGGGGAAATTCGGCTAAAACTATGTAAAAAATAGACCTACATTTTACGCAAAGATTTTTAAGTATCCAGTATGCCAAATTAAAACCACTTCGGTGCGGAAAAATGCAGCTAAAATTTTTAAAATGTCAAAAATGTGGCTGAAGTTTTATATGGGGCTAGGCTAGCAAGTCCTTATTTCCAAATATCCTATTGGTCGCATAAGTAATTTTATTTTTTAAGTTTTTTTTTTTTTTTTTTTTGAAAATCCTTGAATATTTCGAAGTTGGGAGTTGATAATATGCCAAATATAAAAATGGAATTATGGAAAATATAATGATTTGTTCTTGAGGGTATCGAATCAATGTTTTTTTTTTTCTAAATTTCTTCTAGAGCGTATAAGTAATTTTATTTGCTTGGGGGAAGGGAGGTTTTGAAAATCGCTGAATATTTCGAAGTTGGGAATTGATAATATGGGAAATATGAAAATGGAATTATGGCAAAAAAATTCCTATATTTTATGGGCCAAAAAATGGTGCATGAGTAGAGCTCCGATGTCCAGTTATTTGAGTTTTTCCATTGGGTACATACGGGCGTATAAGTGTTATTAATTGTTGGGTAATTTTGGAAATATTGGAATATCATAGAGAAATGAAGTGATACTAAAGAATTTGTGGAGGGGATTTAAAGCCAACAACTGAATCTATATTATGACAGAACATTTATTCGGTTACGCTGTTCTAAGTCCACGTTTTACTAAGATTTTTTGAGGATTTTATAATTATTGCTTTTAGTTTTCTGTAGTTTTTCATTCATTTTTTAGTAGGGAATAGGTCGATCAAAATATGAAGGGAATTTATTTAAAATTTCTATATTTCAAAACTTGAATTGGTGAGACTTCATATTTTATATTATTTTTGCGGAAGTCCATATGACCGTATGCGTAATTTTAATTTGTTGGTATTTTTGAAAATCTTTGAATATTTCAAAGTAGAGATATGCTAATATGGCAATTATTGTGGGAAATTATCCGCAATAAATTTGTCTTTTTTACGAGCTAAAGATGGTGCGTGAGTTTTGCTCCGAAAGCAAGATATTCAAGGTTTTTCATAGAGCAGCAGGGTGCGTATAAGTATTATTAATTATTGGGTATTTTTGAAAATCCTTGAATATTTTGATGAAATGAAGGGATAAGAAAGAAATTTTGGGGGGGATTTAAAGCCAACAAGTGGTTCTATAATATGACACCAAATTGATTTTGGTTACGTATTTCTAAGTCCATGTTTTATAACGATTTTTTCGAGAAATTGATAATTATTAATTTTGTTTTAAATTTCTTTATCTCTTTTTCAGGTCCTCACCTTCCTCATAGACTCTTCGCGTTTCCGCTATCCCGAGCGGGCCATAGTCTTCTTGGCCGTGTGCTATTTGGTGGTGGGTTGTGCCTATGTTGCGGGTCTAGGAGCTGGTGATTCGGTGGCATGTCGTGAACCCTTTCCACCACCAGTCAAGTTGGGTCGCTTGCAAATGATGTCCACCATTACACAGGTAAGGAACCAATATTCGATTTTTATAACTTAAAGAATAGAAAATTTGTTGGTCTTTTAAAAATTAAAATTTTCTAATCCGTTATTCATATTTTTTTGTTTTTCTTGTCTATCATTCTATACAGGGTCATCGCCAGTCAACGGCCTGTGCCATTCTATTCATGGCTTTGTATTTCTGCTGCATGGCAGCCTTTGCATGGTGGTCATGTTTGGCATTTGCCTGGTTTTTGGCGGCTGGCCTAAAATGGGGCCATGAGGCCATTGAAAATAAATCACATCTCTTTCATTTGGTCGCCTGGGCGATACCGGCGCTGCAGACAATTTCCGTATTGGCATTGGCCAAAGTTGAAGGTGAGTTCGGGGCACAAAAAATATTAGATATTAAAATTTAATTCTTTAAAACGTATTTGCCATTAGAAAAATTAAAATCGGAAATAAAATTCCAAGCACGTTTCCATTAGAAGTTATGCCGAACCTCCGAAGGCCTTAATTCTCTGAAAGGAAATTAATTGCGTAAATAAAATCCAAAGCTGCGTCTAAGTGAAGTGGCGTTAATGAAGCATCATTATCGTCCAAGGAGGAGTAGGAAGAGGGGGTCACTAGATTTTTTTTCGGAAGACACCTAATGTACAAAAACGGACTCCTAGCCGAACTTTGTAAATAAAATCCTATGCTCTCCTCTGTGAAGTGGTGCTACCACCGCAATAAAATCCAAAGCTTCGTCTAAATGAAGTGGTGCTAATGAAGCTTCATTATCATCTAAGGAGGAGTAGGAAGAGGGGGTCACTCGATTTTTTTCTGAAACCCCCTAATGGACAAAAACGAAGTCTCTTCGTAAATAAAATCCTAAGCTCTTTTCTGCGAAGTGGTGCTACCACAGCGCTAATGAATCAGAATTATCAGGTTATGGCAAGGAGGGTGAGGTGCTGCCTAGATTTATTTCTGTAGACCCCTAATGGAAAATGGAAACGAACCTCCTAACCTAAAATAATTGTTAATCTTTGTGAGCAATTGCAAATTGGTCTCACATAATATCCCGACCAACAAAAATGTTCTTCATTAAGAACCTCATTTTGTTGTTTCTTTTTTCCCTTCTTCCTCCTTTGTCCCCCTCAAGAAAAAAGCGTGACGAATTTTTAATGTACTTCACGTCTTTTTGGTGTTTTTTTTTGCAAAAAAAGTTCGCCATCGTCATCGTTGTTGTTGTTTTCCGATTCTCTTCTTTGCATTGCTTTAAACTAATTTGCATAATCTTTTGCTTCGCTGTATTCGCTCGCCTCTATGCCTCCTACATAAAATCGTGCCGGAGAAGAAACTGAAGACAACGCAAAAGAGGATGACAAACATCGGGGACTTACCTACCTACCTTACAGTGCCTCAAAAGCAACAACAACAATGGCGGGAAGATTTACTTCTTCTTTTGTTGTAATAATGTGTGGGTGCATTATCGTGTTTTGTTTTTTGTAGGTAGACCCCAAGCCTTAAGCGGATAGGCCGACAGACATGGTATAGGGTGGTATATGTCACGAATCTGATTACAAGGCACAGTGACTAGAAAATGGAACCAAATATTTTTTTTTTTGGGGAACTGAAAGTTTTTTAATTTTATGGTAGGCTAAAATTTTATAGGTTGGGCTCCTGCGGAATTTTTTTCTCAGAGGCCCCCATGGGCGTATAAAAAACTATTAGAGACAGAGCTCACAATATTGAAGTTAGAGCTTTGAAATTTTGCACACACATTGCTATTTCACCTAGGATGATTGGTATTGAAAATGGAATATATCGGTCCACTTTTTCTAGGTAGCCTATATTGAGGCTACCGATACGCTCCAATATTCGGTATTTGGAAACTTTTGGGCACATTTTTCAACCAAATTGTCTGTAATTTTGTATTTTGGAATCTCACTGGGTAGAAAATATCTCTAACAAAAATGACCAATATTGGCCCAAGATTCGGGGTAGCCCCCCTTGTAAAGGAAACCTCTTAGTATTCGGGGTTTTGAGGAACATGGACACGTTTTCCAACCAAATTTGCTGCTATTTTATATTTTGGGTTCTCACTAAGTAGAAAATTTCCCTTCTAAAAATTATTAATATTCGTCCACTTGTTAAGGGTAGTCCCCATACAATGGTACCGTTCGATGTTTTGGTATAATGGTATTCAATGGTAATATTCGATGTTTTGGGGAGCTTGGGCGCATAACTCAACCTAATCAGCTGTAATTTGGTATATAGGATTCTCAATGGGTAGAAAATCTCCCAACCAAAAAACGTTTATATGGGCCCATGTTTACGGGTAGAATCCCTATATCGGCACCTGTCATTATTCGATAATTTGGAGGATTTGGGCAACTCTTTTCATCTTAATCAGCTATAACTTGGTATTTCAGGCAGTCATGGGATGTCAAATCTTCCTACCAAAATTTATCAATATAGGTTCACTTATTAGGCTGGTCCTCATATAACGCTATATCTTAAATGTCGATATTTTGGGGAGTTTGAGGACTTTTATCAACCGAAGTGACTCCAATTTGATTTTTCAGGTTCTCATCGGATGTCAAATCTCCCAACCAAAAACTACCAATACAGCTTTACGTTTTGGTAGTTTCCATATAATGATATTCCGACCCATGTTCTGTACTTTGAAGCCTTTAGCCGCATTTTCCCCTCCGAAATGGCTGTAATTTCGTATGGGGGGTTCTGGAAGGGCTCTGATATACATGCATACAAAAAATTTTCAATATAGGTCCATGTTTTCACATACTCCCCACATAAAGGTAGCGCATCACTGTCAGTGTTTTGAAGGTTTTAGCCTTTTTGTAGAGTCTATCAGGTATATTGTAGTGTCTATCAGGTATATTGGACTGTAAAACACATTTTTGTGGAATATTTTTTACGTACATATATTCAGGAGATCGTGTGGAGTAGGAAACATGCTTCGCTGTTTCAATACATAATATTATTCAGTTATTATAACAATTAAGAAAAAAAAGAAATACCCAAAAATAATAATTTTACACAATCGGCTTGAGTCCACACAGAAATTGTCGATTTTTACCGTATTCGATTTTCAAACATGGGTTCGTTTTTACATATATATATTTAATAAATGGTGTAGATGATGAAATTATATTTATTTCCCATTAAAAAATTATTTTTTATGAAAATATTTTAAGTTTTCATAAAATACAAAAAAATAAAAAAATGTTCCAAAATATTTTTTTCAAGAGAAATAGAAAATTTCCAAGATTTTCTTCTCTGATATGGTAATTTTTGGTGGCGATATTATTCTGTAAAGTCTCTGCAATAACATGCATTCATTTATTTCCTTCTATCAATTAATTGAAAGATTTTATGGCACTTTTTCTAAGTATACCCAATAATTAATAACACTTATACGCCACATGAGTCACAAAAGTAATTCTATCATAACTTTACAAATATTTGACTATTCAGCCTGAATTTTTTAGATAACATTCTCTGCACTATTAGCAATACCCGAAAAAGAAAAAAATAAGAAATTATTTTGAAAAAAATAATAATTTTAAAAATAAATTTTAATATTTAAAACAAAAATATCCAAAAACAGCTATTTCAACCAACAGACTTAATATCAGATAAATGGTGAATTTTTTTGAAGATTTTTTTAGCCACAGTTGTATAATTTCTTACGTAGATTTATTCAATAGATCCTGTAGATTATGAAACTAATTTTTTTTACCTCAAAAAATAATTATTTGCAACAATGTTCAAATTCTTCATGAAATATCAAAAAAATTAAAAAGTTCCCCAAAATAGTTTTTCTATAGAAATCATGAAAATTTTTCAAGAATTTCTTCTCTAACAGGGTAATTGTGTATGGCGATATTATTCTGTGAAGTGTCTAGTCTCAAATGTATTCATTTATTTCCGTCTATAGATTAATCTCAAGATTTTATGGCAATTTTTCTAAATATACCCAATAATTAATAACACTTATACGCTCCAAGGGTCACAAATTTAATTCTTTCATATCTCTATGAATATTTGATTTTTGAGCCTGATTTTTTTAGAGAATATTCTTTGCACTATTCGACAATTTCTGAAGTAAATATATATTTAAAAAAATTGATTTATGTAACAAATTCTAACATTTATAACCAAAATATCCAAAATAGCTATTTCACCAAAGAGACTTGATATCAGATAAATGGTTAATTTTGTTCAGGATTTTATAGCCACAGATATATGATTTTTTGCGTAGATTTATTCAATAAAACATGCAGATTATCCACCTAAATGTATTTCCCATTAAAAATAATTCTTTGGAATAATTTTCAACTTTTTTCGTAAACTACCAAAAAAATAAAATTTTCCAAAAATTTATTTTCCGGTTTTATAACAGAAATTGTTCAAGATTTTCTTAACTTACTTATTAATCTTGTATGATGATATTATTCTGTGAAGTGTCTAGACTAAAATGCATTAATTTATTTTCCAATATCAATGAATTTAATGATTTTAGGGCAATTTTTCTAAAAATACCCAATAATTAATAACACTTATACGCACCAAGGGTCACAAATTGAATTCTTGCATAACTTTATGAATATTTGAATATTCAGCCTGAAATTTTTGTTAAATATTCCTTGCTCTATTAGCAATTTAGCAGTATAATTTTTATTATAAAAATATTTTTGTTCTTTTGATCCCACTGTGCCTGCTCTGCTATCTGTTACATTTGCCTCCATTCATTTTGTTTCATTTCTGTTTTCATACCCCTGCACCCTCGTACTTAGTTCATTATTTACTTTATTAACAACTTTTAACAGGAATTTGACAGTGTCTTGTCTTGTGATTTGAATATTAAATAGCTTTGGTGTGTAACAGAGAATTCTGCTGTTGTTGTTCACTTCCAAGGAATAGCAAAGAGGTAAAAAAGAAATACATATTTTCACAAAAAATGTAAAAGGAAATAAAAATTTTAAATTTGGTGTAACCAAAAAAAAAAAAATTAAGAGGATTTAAGTACCTAATGGAGAAAAATATTAGAACAAAAATTTTAAAATTTGTATAGGATCAGAAACTTTATCAGATAAATGTTGAGGGCATCTGCGAAAGGTATTTTTACCAAGTGGTACTTCTATGGACTCTTTTATAGTTAAAAAATGGTTTTAATTTATTGAGAAACATACATTTTGGGAGTCAAAAAAAAAAAAAAAAATCAAAGCCCCACGTAACTTGATTTGACTGGACTTTTTAGTTTTATAATATAACATTTTATGTGAAACATAAAATAAAATAATTTTTGCGTCTTTAGAAATTCATCGAACAAATTTAAATGTTTTAAATAATTATTTTTAGTGAGTGAT